CTTATAAGTAGAGAAGAAAAGGAGCTTCAAAAAGCAATTAGGAGGAAGCCATCATTGCCTGCAGGTGCAGACCTTCTATTGTTTTAAGGTCGCCTGTGCCTATATCACATCACTCACTGCTCTGTAAGAAACCTAATGCATTCATTAGTTCTTGGACGAACTTTGCTGGCACTGCACTGTGGTTGTTGGGACTTGAGGAAGACAGGCAGCCAATGCTCATGACTCCCCAAGGAAAGGAATTTTAGCAACAATTCCTTACCCGCCACATGAAAAGTAGAAAAGTTACCGGCATTGGGGACCTGAAAGGAAAGAGAATAAAAGGAATGTTCTAGCACACTTTTATCTTTGTATGCATGACTCTGCAGCCAAGGGCCTGCACACACCTAATGACCTCCATCATAGCTGGAGTGATAGCTTTGATCTGCAGCTGTGGATACTGAAGCAAGAAGGGCATGATGCTAGAGCTTGGCAAAGGGAAGCTGGGAAGGAGAGTCTTCGAAGTAAACATTGTGACATCAGCCTGAGAATGTGAAAGCCAAGACCAACTCAGACCCAACCCCCAAGCTTAGCTGGAGTCCTGACAACCAGGATCATTGAAAGAAATTTTTTAGATTTATTTTAAAATGTTTATTTCATGTATATGTATACACCATGTGCATGCAGTGCCCATGGAGACCAGAGGAGGGCATCAGATCCCCTGGAACTGGAGTTACAGAAGGTTATGCGTCACCATGTGGGTGCTCAGAGCTGAATCTGGGTCCTCTGCCAGAACAGCAAGTGCTCTTGGTGACTGAATCTTCTCTCTAGCCCCATTCCAGGGCGTTTTAACCTTTGCGACTCCACACAGCACTTTCTCATATAGATTTTCATACCCTTCAGGGATGCTCACACTCTTCTCCATCACTCCAAGAGACTCAGGCTAATGCTGGCTTCCCCTCGTGCCCTGTGAGGTAGGTGAAGACCACATGCTCTTCAGCCCGAGATCTGGCTGGAGAAGAGTGTTGGTGATTGAATAGGATGAAACTGAATGAAGCCCGACCTTACAGGTTTTTCCTGTTGTGCCGCCCATCCAGCTGCCCTGGTCAACATAAGCCTTGTTTTCCTCACACTAAACCCAAGTTTAGGCCACTCAATTAATTTGTATGAGGGGGGATGAGAATGCTATCTTCTGTCCCCTCAGGGTGCTCAGTTCTGCTCCCTGAGGTGCAGCTCACTCCACCTCATCAGACATTGTCTCCATAGCAGTGTTTATGGGATGGAAGACAGGAAGATGGAGGGTGCAGCAGTTTGCGGATCAGACAGGAGCACAAAGGCACAGAGAGCATGTCTCAATGCAGGCTGCACATCGGCTCATCTGTAGATACTGCCCCTGGAGACAGGAACTTCTCCATCACACCAGTGTGGGATCATAGCCAGTACTGTAGCAGCTCCTGTATCATTGGGTAAGTAAGGATCAGCATGGCCCTGAAGCTGCAACCAAGGAAAGTCCTGGCCAAAAGCCTCAGCTGAACTGTTTCTTGAACTACATACAAATCCCAGAGCTGGCTTTCTGTAGTAAGCCACCACTTCTAGCTCTCTTATCTTGCAACTGTCTCATCAGGAGAGGGGTGCAGGCCAGGTCTGCGAAAGGCTGCAGCAAGGATTGGCTCGGTTTGTTCCGTTGACTGGAAAATACTGTCTTTCTCTTGAGGTAGCAGTGTAATTGGGCACAGTCTCGGCTAACACTCAACATCTTTCATTTCAAGTTCCTCAGTGGTGCTTTCTGTGAAGCAAAAGACAAGTCAAAGAGTTGGAGACATGACCCCGTTGGTTGAATGCACAATCATAAGGACCTGGATCCACAGCCTCAGAACCCTGTATAACTGAGCACACATCTGTAATCCCAGGATCAGGCATGGCTGGAGACAGCAGATTCCAGGGTGTGTTGGACAGTCCCTAGCCAATCAGTGATCTCCAGGTCAGAGAGAAACTGCCTCAAAAATAAGAGGTGGAAAGTCAGGCATTGGTGGTGCACACCTTTAATCCCGGCACTCGGGAGGCAGAGGCAGAGGCAGGCGGATCTCTGTGAGTTCGAGGCCAGCCTGGTCTCCAGAGTGAGTGCCAGGATAGGCTCCAAAGGTACACAGAGAAACCCTGTCTCGAAAAACCAAAAAAAAAAAAAAAAAAAAAAGGTGGAGATACTTGAGGAAGATACCTAATGCTGACCTTTGACTCACTCTATCTCTCTCTCTCTCCCTCTCTCTCTCTCTCTC